CTGCTCCCCATGTCAGTCAACAGGAGGATGCGTTTCCCTGTCCAGCAGATAGGCCTGCTCCTGGAATAATGTAAGAAAGTACAATACCAGATATGGCACAGAATAGATTTCTCTTGGGCAACAGGAGGCCAAGAGATCAAATGTTAGTTGAAATTCATAAAAATGGCTCCCACAGAAGAGGTGGAGCTAGAACTAGGTCCAAGGGTCAGCCATATTTGGATATACAGAGAGGCAGTTGGGAAGGCCCTGTGCAAGCCAGAAAAGACCAGGGGAAAGGGCATGCACGTTTGTTTGGGGAAGGGGTGGGCATGTTAAGGGGACTGTGGAAAAAGCAGAGTGCCTGGGAGGAAGCAGAGGACAGAAGTGGGGCAAGACCAGACAGAATGAGGGGGTGAGATGCAATTGAACAGGGAAAAGAGAGTCCAGTAGAGTCTAGACAACGCAGTGACAGAGACATGAAATGCCAGCCCTCCTGAGGGACCAGCCAGTTCAACCACCACCACCCTACATCCAGGTTTACCTATGGGAAGCTGAAGTCACGAGAGGAAAAGCATACACACAAGGCCATAGATTGAGAGACTGTGAGGGTTGAGACAAGAACCCAGGGCTCCAATCAGTTTGGTCTTCTCGCCATTGGACCATCTTGCCAGGCTGGTATTTTGATATAAAAGTGGTGTTTCAGGCAGATCTGGCAGCAGAATGCAGCGGAAAGGAGAAGTGAAGAGTCCGGGAGACTGTAAAAATGACTTCCGGGGTGAGTCCATGGGAGGGACTAGGCTGGAATGAAATGGAAAGGATGGGCTGGGAGTGAGATCCACCAAGTGGGAAGAAACAAAAGAACTTGGCAGGAAATCAGATATGGCCGTGAGGGAGAGAGCTGTGCGGAGGTAACTTGCAGGCCATTCTCAGGCTGGGGAAGTTTCTCCTGAGGTCACGGGGTACTTTACTCTGACCCCCGCCTCAGAGGCAGCAGACAAGAATGAACACAACCGGTCCCTCCTACAAATTCCTATCCCACGTCCTCTACACAGACCTCCTCTGAGTACCCCATTCAACATTTTAGGACCTTTCGTTTACATCTGGTGCACAGATGAGTGTGTTTGGATGATCAGGTGTGAAATTAAAAACCCAAACTAGACCCTGGTAAAGAGAGCCTGCAAGGCTAGAACTACGGTGGATTTTGATGTTTGCTGTGAGGAGCAGGGAAATGAGAGCAAAGAGAATGGAAAAATTCTCTCTCTTCCTCTGGCTCCACCCTCACACAATGGTAGTAGCTGAGTGGTGGTTAGCAGGCTTCATGTGAGGGAGGTAACTGTGAAACAGGAGAAGGTGGAATGGGAACTTAGACCAAGACCACCTGGGGCTGTTGAGGACAAGGGCAAATTATACCTCACCTTATAGGTAAGGAGGACCAAATAAAAGAACACCAATAGTTAATGTCTAATAATCCCTTAGTACAGACACTGTGCTAAATGCTTTCCATGCATTATTTCACTTATTACAACTCTAAGCGGGAAGCACTATTAGAATTGCCATTTTATAAATGAGAAAATTGAAGCTCATATAAGTTAATAAATTAGCATAAAGTCATAGGGATAAGAGTGTTGGAGCTGTCTGATTTCAAAGACCATGTTCTTAGTTCCTGAACTGCTTTCCTCACCTGTCATGGGTGAGAACACCTACCCCACAGTCCTCAATGAAGCTCAATTCTCTCCAATCCACTTCTCGATAGTGCTAAGGACATCACTGAATCTCCATACAAGTCATATAGAAACTGCTGGCCCTGGCCAGTGTGGCTCAGTGACTAGACTGTTGGCCCACGCACCAAAAGGTCATGGTTTGACTTCCAGTCCAGGGCATATACCTGGATTGCAGGTTCGATCCCCAGCCCTGGTCGGGGAGTGTATGGGAGGCAACCAACGGATGTGTCTTTTTCATACTTTCCCTCTTTCCCCCTGCCCTTCCTTCCACTCTCTCTAAAAATCAATGGAAAATAATATCCTCAGGTGAGGATTAACAACAAAAAATTAAAACAAAGAAATTGCTGGAAACTTTGACATTCTTGATTCGATCTATCATGAAATTATATTCCTCATACCCTAACAGTTTAAAGAGACAGGGGGAGGTGCAAAACCAAGTATGTGTATTAGGTAGTAGGGCCCAGTGGTTGAGGGCTTGGACTTTGATGCCTAAATCCCAGCTTGGCCAAATTCTCGCTGTGAGAACTTAATCAAATCACTTCTCTACAGCTCTGTTTCCTCCTACACAAAATGAGGCTGATGCCACCTGACCTCCCGGGGTCACTGTAAAAGCAAATGCGACGAGGCTTGTAAAGCACCGAGCACAGTCCCTGACACGCACCCAGGGCCTCACCAATGCTGGTTATTACAGTGATTATCAGGGTTGTTGTCATGGTCACTGCCACGCAGCTATGGCCAGGGACACTTGATCTTTGCATCTGGCTGTGATGGGACAGAGTGAGCTTCCTAATGAGGACCGGGTCCCGAGTACAGTGTATGGTCCCTCCTGTCACTCTGTCACTTGGCAGGTCCAGGGGTAAGTGGTGTCCCAGAAGAAAAAGGGGGCGGATGCAGGTCCCTGCAAGGCCGACACATGAAGTTGTGATATTTCAAGAGCCCAGTGGACTTCTTGAGGAAGGGCAAGGGGGCAGTTGTGTTGGAAGCATTGCAAGAACCCAACCAGCCTCAGCCTGATGCTTCCAGGAAGTGGGAGGGACGAGGAGTCTCATTCCATCCAGTGCTGACTCACCTCCCTTCCTAACTGACATACCCTGCCCGGCACAGAACCTTCACAACACACCACCAGGAGGCCTCCATGAGCACAGCTCCATATGGCATGGGAACAAGAAGATGCAAAAGAAACCCAAGACACCTTTGCTTCTCGAAAAGAGTCACCAGAACGCAGGTTATCAGCCCATGACAATTACTATGTAGGATTATCTTGCTTTTCTAAAGTCCATGTATCTGGTGTCCTTTGATTCCCGGGAAGCTAACAAAGGCAAAGGACCAAAAACCCTGCTATACCCCCTCTGAGCAAAGGAAGGGTTACAAATTCTAAGCACTAAAGGCAGTGCATTTTAGTTGCAGGAGAGTCCCTAAAGCCCTCTCTCAGTAACTACCTACTTTTACTTTAGACGGTTGTAAATAATGTAGCTGATCTGAATAAATCTGAAGTGAATGGGAGAGCTGTTCGGGGCTGGCACATCGAAGGCAATGGAGAGTAATGGCTGGCCGCCTGACCATAGGGAGATGACACAGACTATGAAATGCAATCCCAGGATAAGAGGACAGCTGCTGGGAAGCATGTAGTATAGGTGCAAAAAGGCTATCATATCTTCACAGGCCAAAGGGTGCCACTGCACTGCCACTGGGCCTGGCCACAGATATTCTGGCTCTCCTGGGATGCTATGAGATGTTAGGTATGGCCAGATGACTTGCTTGGGCCAATGACATGTGGATGGAAATAATGAGTGTCACTTCTGGGCAGAAAGCTTCCCCATGCTCTTCTAACACTTCCAGACGGTGGCAGCTCTGCCGCCTGAGTCCCCAAGTAAGGATAAAAATGACACAGAGCCTTGATGACTTGCTTGGGCCAATGACATGTGGATGGAAATAATGAGTGTTACTTCTGGGCAGAAAGCTTCCCCATGCTCTTCCAACACTTCCAGACGGTGGCAGCTCTGCCAGCCCGAGTCCCCAAGTAAGGATAAAAATGACACAGAGCCTGGCTGGCATGGCTCAGTGATTGAGCATCGACCTGTGAACCAGGAGGGCATGGTTCAATTCTCAGTAAGGGCACATTCCCAGGTTGTGGGCTCGATCCCCAGTATGGGGTGTGCAGGAAATAGCCAACCAATGATTCTCTCCCATCACTGATGTTTCTATCCCTCTTTCTCTCTCCCTTTCTCTCTGGAATCAATCCTATATAATAAAAGTCTAATATGCTAAGTGTCCAGTCGTCCATTTAACCAATCAAAGTGTAATATGCTAATGATATGCTAAGGATGCTCAATCCCTCGCTATGACGTGCACTGACCACCAGGGGGCAGACGCTCTGACTGGTAGGTTAGCTTGCTGCTGGGGTCTGGCTGATCAGGACTGAGCGAGATGGGCCAGACATTCCCTGGAGGCCTCCCGCGGTCCCTCCCAGGCTGGCCAACTTCCTGCATCCTTCTCGCAGTCTGGGCTGAGGGACCCCCTCACCTCTGAGTGCACGAATTTTGTGCACTGGGCCTCTAGTAAAAATATATTTTGTAAAAAATGACATGGAGACGACCCTCCAGCTGACCCCCAGAGGACAAGTAGCATGGACAAAGAATAAACTTCTGTCGCTTTTCCGGGTTGCTTGCTACTACCATGTAATATAGTCTATCATGACTGAAACATCCTAAACATTTAAATGAGGTCAATTCACATTAAGAGATATGTGCACTATCTTTTTGGTAAGTTACCATTCAAAATAGTCAATGCTATGTTTTGTGGCTTAAAGAATCATTTTCAATTACAGGGAAAATTCACCTGCTCCAATGTTGCTGGATAAATGAGTCACTGACAGAATATGAACTGAATGGAGGAGAGACAGATCCAGTTTCCAAACAACTTCTTTCTCTAGGGAGGCTCCGGTCTTTATAGAATATACCTGCATCATGTAGGGCAGAGAGCAGGTGGGGCTCATGTGCTAAAGCTGCAGAACCAGTCCATGCACATGGGGTGGCATCTGCCGCTTCTGTGAGTGCTGAGGGGCTCTGGTCCCCAACGGGGGTTGGAAGGCCCTATTGCATATCTGTCTGTGCTCTCATGGAAGGAAAACCACCATGCTGTTGAGTGAGCCAACAACTTGAGAATATAGTCTTTTTAAGCATACAAGGAACATTTACAAAATTTACCTCATACTGGCCCACAAGCAAGTTTCAGGATGAAAACCATATGGGTTATTTTTCTGACCAAAAGCAATTAAGCTTGAAAACAACAGCTACAGGATAACTGGAAAAAATCTTGTATATTTGGAAAATAGGATACATACTTTTAAATAATCCATACGCATATACATCCTCTCAGTTAACCCTCCTATCATAATGCATCTTAGAAATGCAGGAACCGAGAGTGGAAGGAGAACATCATTTGCTCAAATTTACCCAGTTGGTCATGGTGAAACCAGGACTCAAAACCAGCCTATAGAACTCTAGAGCCAAGGCTTTAGTGATATTCTCTTTACGCTACGTCTCACTGGAATTCATAGATCCTCCCACGGTTCAGAGCCTCCACTGATCTGATGTTTCACCTCTTAGAGCAACTGGTAAGAGGTGGGAGACCTCGTCCCAGCGTGTGGTGGAGGCACTGACCTTGGACCTGCTGCGCAGAGATGCATGTCCCTTTAGTTCCTGCTCCTCTGGGGTCCCCTACTTGAACTGAGGTAAGAGGTCTAGGGTAGTGGAGAGGGGTCTTTCGGGTTGATCTTCCCAGACAGCTTTGAACTAGATTCCCCAGGAAGACTTCATTTCCTTTTAAAGTTAAGTTTTTTTTTTTCCGCGTGGTCACAAGTGGTAAGCGAACAAAGAAAGACAGAAGGAAAAGTTACTTCCAGATGGCTCCCCATCTTGCTCTAATGCAGATTAAGTAAAGAATATCCCAACATATCATTAGGCAAACATGAGTATTAAGATCATTCATATTATATAAATGGAACGGAATAAAAATTCAACCTATATCCTGACTTAAATCTGGGGCTAGGGCCTCAGAGCCAGAAAACAGACAACTTATAGCACCCCGGTCTGAGCAAGGTGGAGGCCCACGATACCTGAGGTAAGAGGCAAGACCAAAGTGTTCGTAACCTTTCTAGGGTTGGCCACCTGAACTCTAGCTACCAAACTACATCCCTCTGTGGCAAGGGCCTGTTCAAATGGCTACTTAACACTGTTATTCTCCAACTCAACCTACTTGTGTCAAGATACATTTTTAGCAAAACCCCAAGACATCCAGAGCTTCTGAGGCTCCGCATCTCGCCCTGTGCTGTGAGGGCGATGCTGTCTGCCCTCCTCCATAGGCTCACAAGGATAACTTAGTCCTAAGTGCCCAGGACTAAGTTTCATGCAGGAGAAGGCTCGAAAATACAGAAAACCTGACGGTGGTCCATATCCCAGAAAGTTACCAAAGTGCTGAGAACTCACCAAGTGGCCCTGGAGAGGGAGAAGGCTGAGAGAGGTATGAAGAGAGAGGGCCAGGTTGGCTAAAGGTCCTGAAGGTAGGAATATTCACTCCATCCTTTGGCTTCATTTCTTTCACTGCAGAAGCCACCCTGGCCCAAGGTGAGGGCGAAGGCTTGCTGGGTTAATAGTGCTCACAGTGCTCAGCTTAGGGCCTGAGTGCTCCCCAGCCCTACCCCAACTGCTCCAACTCCACACCATCAGGGCTCAGGCCCCAGAAAGTCAGTGTGCCAATCAGTAAGTGATCCAAGTCCCACCACGAATTTAAGATCAACAAGTCTAAGATCAAAGTACCCCGTCATCCAATCAGCAGTGTGATTACATCCTTTGGATCTGTGAAGAAGGGCTGTTGACCACTTCCTAATAGGAGGTTATGGGCAGACCCCAAATGAGAATTCAGTCCAGTTGTGTCTAGAGGCTAGACAGATGGTGCGGGGCCCCGGGGGTGAGCGATGGTCCAATGCCTTCGATGAGGTTGTTCCATTGGTCATAGTTCTCTTTCAGGCCTGGAAAAAACACACACAAAACCCCAGGAAGGTTAGGTAAGTCATTGTAAGGTTAGAGCAAAGAGTACTGACCACAGACTTAGTGGGCCTTCCTAGAGAGAAGCACCTGGGATACTAAAAGGACTGGTTGTGAGGGTGGTAGCAGTAATGGTAACTACTGTACATTCAGTGCCTTTATAAAGATGCTTCATAAGTCATTTGTTTAATCCACAATAACTCAATAATGATAACAAAAAAAGTAACATTTGTTGAAGAATAACTCATTATAGAATAACTCAATGGACATGCACTGTTTCATTTAATTTTCACAATATCCCTATTAGCTAAGTACTGTGATTAGCCCTACTTTATCATTGAGGAAACTAGGCTTAAAGACGCTACCTGATTTGTCCAATGTCATTATAGCTGGTAATGACAGAGTTCACACCTTGGTCAGAAAGGGTGAGAAAATGGGAAGCCTACTTCAGGCTCAGAGATGGTGCTGAGCAAGAAAAGGTCCTTCGTACGCCAGCCAGTGGATGCAAATCCAGGGCCACCTCCGTGAAGGGCAGAAGGAATAGGTGCAACATCATGAAGCAGCGTAACACTGGGAATGATCAAGAGAGAGCACTGGGGTCATGGGCAGGTGGGTCTAACTACATGGTAAGAACAGTCAGAAAGGGTCCGCAGCCTCAGGCTGAGGGAGAAGGGCACAGCTTAGCAGGCAAAGGACCTCCTTGTTCAAAACAAACAACACCTGGGGCAGAAGGCAGGGCCCACTGCCTTCATCTTTGGGTCCCAGTGCCCTGCAAAGAACCTGGCATGGAATAGGTCCTCAACAAATAAATGCTCCATAGTCATTAATTCAAAAAATACTGAACACACCCATGACCTGCCACACTCTGTTCTTGGTTCCAAAAAGTCCATCCACAAATAGAAATCCTCATCCTCATAGAGCTCACAATCCAGTGGGCAGAGATAACAATAAACATCATAAATTATATAGGATGTGAAAAGGTGATCAGTGCTATGGGGGGAAAGAGCCAGATAAGAGAAGCAGTGGTGGTGCCAAGGACAGGGTGAGGGAGGTAGGGAAGGTGTAATGTTTTTAAAAGGCTGGTCAGGGTGGGCCTCACTGGGAAGGTGAGATTTGAGCAAAGACTTGAAGGAGGTGGGAGCGAGCCACGAGACAACACAGGAAGAATGTTCCAGGCAGTGGGAAGAGCACTACAAAGGCTGAAGCCAGAGTATCCCTGGAGTGTTGGAGACTTGTGTGGCAGGAGTGAGGTAGGCCGGGGGAAGAGAGCAGGTGAGCTCAGGAGGCACTGACTGGAGGACCACATCATCGGGTCTAGCAGGACAATGGACATTGGCTCTGACTCTCAGAGAAATGGAGAGTCACTGGAGGATTCTGAGCAGAGGAGTGACAATATCTGACTTGCTTTCTAACAGATCTCTCTGGCTGTACTATTAAAAAGACTATGTAGGGCCCTGGCCAGTTTGGCTCAGTGGATAGAGCATTGACCTGCGAGCTGAAAGGACACGGGTTCGATTCTGGTCAAGGGCACATGCCCGGGTTGCAGGCTCAATCCCAGGTGGGGGGCATGCAGGAGGCAGCCAATCAATGACTCTCTCTCATCATTGATGTTTCTCTCTCTCTCCCTCTTCCTTCCTCTCTAAAATCAATAAAAAAATATATTTTTAAATAAATAATAAATAAATAAAAAGTGACAACACACACACACACAAAAAAAAGATTGTGTAGGGAGGCATGATGACAGTAGAGAGACCAGTAGGAAACTGATACAGTAATTTAAGTTTAGGTGAGAGATGACTTACACAGCATGGCAGTTGTGGGGTGACGACAAGTGATTAGATTCCACATGTATGTGAAAGGTAGAGCTGATAAGACTTTCTGAGGGATGGGATGGGAGGTGTAAGAGAAGAGACATGAATGAGGACTTTGGCTTGAGTAACTAGAAGGATGGAGTAACTATTAGTTGAGAAGGGAAAGACTGTAACTGCAACTGGTCTTTGTGATGTTTATTAGATGTTGAATTAGTGGGTTATCGAAATCTGATGTTCATGGGAGAGATCAAAATGCAGATATAAACTGGGGACTCGTCAGCCTGGAGATGGCATCTAAAGCCACTAGATGACATTAGGACATAGATAGAGGAGAGGTCCAAGCGCTGAGCCCTGGAAGCAGCGAAGTAGATGGAGAAGGAGTAGATCCTGAGATAGGAGACAACCACAGTGGGTTGTCTTGGAAGGATGGCATCACAGCTCTGTCAGCAGTGCTGAGAGCTCCGCTGAGATGAGGAATGGGAGCTGACCACTGGATTTAGCTAAGGCCTGAGAAAGCATTTGGTCTAGCCCTGCCAAGGCCTTAGGGGTGAGTTAATTAATGTTTGAGCAATATAGCAGGCTAATTTTTAAGTTGATATTTCTTTAAAAAAATACATATATATATATTTTACTGATTTCAGAGAGGAAGGGAGAGGAAGAGAAAGAGAGCGAAACATCAGTGATGAGACACAATCATTTATCGGCTGCCTCCTGCACGCCCCCCCACTGGGGATGGAGCCTGCAACCTGGCCATGTGCCCTGACCGGAAATCGAACCATGAACTCCTGGTTCATAGGTTGATGCTCAACCACTGAGTCATGCTGGCCGGGCAGTTGATAATTTTGTATGACCCTTGAATGAAGTTATAAGTTTCCAAAGGGCCCTTGGCAGAAAAAAGGTTGCCCACCCCCGATCTAAGGTAAAGAGAAAAGAATTGCTGGCACAACCATCTTGAGCAGACCAAAAAGGTGAGGTGTTGGAGGTTTGAAGATAAAGGAGAAGGTGTAAAATAGACTTCCAGGAGAGGGGAAGAGAGAATGACCAGGTGGGGGCAGGAGCTGCATGTAGTTAATATGAGAGAAACACCAACCTTCTTGATGGACAGTAACATCCCGTGTCACTGGACTATGTGCTCTCTGTGGTATTTTTTAGGATTGGTGAGAAGTTCTGCTCAGCCTCTTCAATCTATTTTAGTTTCCCACGTGACAAGGTACTGTGCGGCCACCAAAAAGCTTTTCTCTCTTTGCAAAGCTAATTAACTGGAGCAGAGAGGCTCTGCTTTTTTTTTTTTTTTTCAGACTCTGTCTTATCTCTCAGCACCTAGATACTTCAGGAGCCTCCCACCCAGGCTCTCTGCCTCTCAACCTGCCCCATCTTGCCCATCCTCCACGTTGCAGCCCAAATGCAAATACAAGTCTAATCATGACATCCCCCTGCTTAGAACCCAAGGACTCTCACAGCCTGTGGGGGGAAGTTCAAGCTTATTTCAGCAAATACATGGGATTCGAGATCTGGTTTCTGCCCATTTCTCTACCTTCATCTTCCAACAATTCACCATCCTGAGCTCCAGATACACTGAACACAGTTTCTCAAAACTGACCAGGCCCACCCAGGCCTTTGTGCATCCTGTTTAGAAGACCCTTGCCCTCCCCTGCCTGCTGAACCCTAATCACCTGCTAAGATTAAAGACAAGCATTGCTTTGTCTAGGGCAGTGGTCGGCAAACTCATTAGTCAACAGAGCCAAATATCAACAGTACTTCTTCAAAATAGACTCGCCCAGGCTGAAAACCGACTTCTGCGCATGGGCCACGAAGTTTCAATCGCACTGTACGTGCGCGCCCGCACGTGGTATTTTGTGGAAGAGCCACACTCAAGGGGCCAAAGAGCCGCATGTGGCTCGCGAGCCACAGTTTGCCGACCACTGGTCTAGGGAGCCTCCTTTCTCTCTTGTCTCCTGAAGACTGAGTCCTCGCATCCGTGGGTCATGAGAGTCACTGGCCGAATAGCAGAGGTAAATCAGTGAATCTCTCTAGTCCTTGTAACCCAAAAAGCCTACAATAGTAACTTCCAACCATTAAAGTTTCCAGTGGTGGTGAGGGCTGACGCTGCAGCAGAGCACTCTCCCTGCTGCTGGACTGTGTGGCAGGGCGGATATGAGAGGGTATCTCCTAAGGACAGGAGGCGGGACCAAAGACCTCTGCGGGTCTTGCCATTTAGCTGGGGTGATTTATGATTAGTCACCATCTTCCCGTGCTTTGTTTTTATTAAAGCACTTCTACAAATTTAACCCACTCCTCATCATAACCTCCTCCACCATACAGATAAGTGATGAGTTAGAACAGAGGTAGTGGAGTAGAGAGGTGTGAATATTCCATTTACAGTGAGGAAACCAAGGCTCAGAGAAGAGTAGGTCAAGGTCATTGGGGTAGTAAGAGACAGAGTCAGGATCTCCAAACTTTCAGCTAAGTGTTATTTCTATACGTCTATGTAACGCTCTCCTTCAGTCAGTTTCCTTTAGCCATAATCTCCCTGATCCGAGACCTATCAGTATAGACTACTGTGCATGGAAATCTAAGGGACCCCAGGCTGCCCCAGAAGTCCCAGTTCTGTCCTTACCAAGGTGCTTCTGCAGAAAGGCCAACATGGCCCGCACCACAATCTCTTGACCTTCATAGGGGTCCAAGGTCCCACGGTTTTGACTGGAGAAGAATTTACCAATCCAGTTCCCAGACACAAAAGCAAAGTCAGTTTGACTCCGATGAACAGAACCACTAGAGGAAAAGAAAAACAAATAACTGGTAGGAGTTTTGAGGTCAGGGTACACAAATATTTGTTAAGCACCTACTATGTGCAAGGTACTTTATGTGCATTATTTCATTTTCACAATAAGGGAAGAATATTCCCCTTTGACAAAATCAGGAGAGAACTGGTCACACAGCTGGTAAGGGGACAGCGCTAGGATGTGAACACAGGTGTGCTTGGCTTCAGAGCTGCCTCAGCTCCTGGACCACAATGCCTGACGGTGCAGGGAAAAGGCTGAGTTAGCCAGAGTGGGGACAGGGCCAAGGAGGCGAGGTCTGCAGCACCTGCCATTCCTATGTTATTATAAACTATAACACCACGGCTTTTACCTGGTGACTTCCGAACATTCATAAAACATGTCAGCTCCTGTCTTCAGAACTGTACCACAAAGTAAACAGGAAAAAGGAATTTAAGTGAGGGCAGTGCTTGTAAAAGAGAGTTTCTGGGTTAGAATTTAAGTCCTTTGGTATCAAATATATTTACTGCAAAGGTGAAATTCTGACTAGGTTCATTTTTGGCTAAATTACTTAAAACTAAAATTACTAGTCAAATCAATGAGGAAGAAAAATATAAATGCTAAACTTTGATATCATGAAAAAAAAAAAAAAGGTGACTTTACAAAAATGTATTTTTTTGCCGGGCCAGCTTGGCTCAGTAGTTGGGCATTCGACCTATGAACTAGGAGATCACAGTTCAATTCTGGGTCAGGGCACATGCCCAGGTTGTGGGCTCGATCCCCAGTAGGGGGCCTACAGGAGACAGGCAATTGATGATTCTCTCATATCTTGATGTTCCTATTTCTCTCTCCCTCCTCTCCTTTCCTCTCTGAAATCAATAAAAAAATATTTTTTTAAATGTATTTTTTAAGGCACATGAAAAAGCATAAAGAATAATATAATGGATACTTGAATGTGCAGCACTCAGTTTAAGAAAGAATACATTACCAGTAGTTAAATCCCCCTTGTGTGCCCATTTCCAACTGCTCTCACCGCCTTTTCCTCCAGGGGTCACAATGATCCCAAATCTGACTGGTCTGGGGAAACTTCCAAGCAGTCTTCTGTTGCCATGAAGTCAGAATGAAAGGGAGGGGGCTGGCCCGGTGGAAGAGAGCCGGGGCCAAAATGAGCAAGGGAAGAAGCCGCTATTACTGAGCAGATTCCTAGCCACCCAGGGCTGTGGAGTTGGCATTTCAACTACCTGAAATGGTTTCTGGAAGATTCCAAGGTCTGTGGCATGCAGTTACTTGTTATTTTGCTTTAATGGGGCCTGGGACCCTTGAAGCATGTATTTTAGGCTCAAGTGCAGGACAGGAGCAAGTCACAGCCTTGTCAGCGAGCCTTCAACCTGCACCTGGAGCTCTAGGCCACTTCCCATGCATGGTATGTTTCTTAAAATTTCTCAAAAATTTTCTGTGAAAAATGGCTTATGAAAGAAAGCTGATAGTGCTGATGATGGAGTGAAAAGACTGTGGTTTCTCTTAGCCAGAATATAGATGGTTTCTGGAAGATGTCTGAATTTAGGTAGTCATGAAGGTCTCTAAAAATCTGTCTTATGAATGTCAAAGGTCTATCATACCCACATTCTTTTTTTTAATATACATTTTTATTGATTTAAGAGAGGAAGGAAGAGGGAGAGAAAGATAGAAACATCAATGATGAGAGAGAATCATTGACTGGCTGCCTCCTGCACACCCCACACTGGTGATCGAGCCTGCAACTCAGGCATGTGTCCTGACCAGGAATTGAACCATGATCTCCTGGTTCATAGGTCAGTGCTCAACCACTAAGCCACGATGGCCGGGCTTCACCCACATTCTTCAAAAGACCCAATAAAATTCCCAAATGAGGTTAAAGATCTTTGGAGTCCACCCAGACCCACTTTCTTCCCCAACACACAATCCCACAATACCCTTTTCCCAGAAGTGAACAGACAAATCCTGTCACAGAGTCATATAAACTGGTGAAGAAATCACTGTAGAACTAAGTGGAGCAGAGCAGATATGAAATTCTAAAGGAATTAAGATTTTGAAAATCGGGAAGTATTCAGGTATCCCATTAATAGTCAGAGCTTCTGGATAATCCAAAAGTAATCAAGGGAGCCCAGCTGGCAAGAAGATGGCAGGGCACTGGGGACCATGGCCTTGGAGTCTACTTACAGGACAGTGATGATCCTGGACTGTTCATGCTGGGCACACATCTTCTTCATCAAGTTGACACTCTCCACTGTCTGGAATTTCTCAGCATTGATGAAGAATACAGGGCCTCGGGCCTTCGGGTAAAAGTCACGTTCCAGAGGGAACATCCAAGCATCCAGTGCCACAGCACACCTGCAACAGGACCAGACACTGGGAGCTGCCGTGCAGAAGCGGTCAGGGCAATGGGGGAAAGCGTTGAGATCTTCTGAAGGTTCAGAAAGCCAAGGAGGTACCAGGGTCCACACCCTTCGGTTAGGATCTTGGCTAGAGACCACTTTCACCTGTTGCCAAAGATCCTTCTACATTTTAAACTCACCGAGAGCAAGGGTCGGACCTCTCCTCGCCCTGGACCATGCTCAGGCAGCTGCCTTCAGTTACACAGAATGGCACTTCCTTCGTTTAATCCTTCACTCAACATTCTTTGAGTACCGACTGTGTGCTTAGCCCTATGCTCTGGATACAGGGATAAATGACACAGTTCTGTTGTTGTTGTTTTTGTTTTAATCCTCACCCGAGGATATTTTTTCATTGATTTTTAGAGAGAGGTGAAGGGAGGGGGAGAGACACAGAGAGAAACATCAATTGGTTGCTTCCTACACATGCCTGAACCAGGGTTGGGGAAGGAGCCTGCAACCAAGGTATATGCCCTTGACCGGAATCAATCCTGAGACCCTTCAGTCCACAGGCCGATGCTCTATCCTCTGAGCCAAACCAGCTAGGGCTAAATGACACAGTTCTTGCTCTCAAGGAGTCCCCAGTGGAGAAAGGGAGGCAGGACAGACAAATTAACAAATACAGCTTGGCACCCTGATTGCACAAGTTGCTAAGTGAGCCCAGAGCATATGAGGCAGAGGCTAGGAAAAGCCTCTTGGTGCCACAACTCAGAGATCTAGCCAGTGTGTCAAGCAGTAAACAAGCCTCCCCACTCCCACCCCAAATGCTCCTCCAGCCTTCTCTCTCAGGAAAGGGCGATCATCTTCACTCAAATGATGGATACACAAGTGAAAAACCTTGATTCCTCTCTTTCCTTCACCTCATACATCACATAGTCCTGAAAATTCTAAAACATGTCCTGACTCCATTCATTTCTCGTCATCCCACTGCCTCCATCTTAATGCAAATCCATCATCTCACCTGGACCCCGAAATAGCTCCCTCTAACTAGCCTCTTTGCTTTCTGTCCAGCCACTATCTACCCTTCACACAGTAGCCAGAAGGATCTTTTAAAATGTAAAAAATTGTTTTTTCTCTCCTTAACTCCTTCAATGGCTTCCATCAAATCCTATATAATAAAAGCCTAATATGCAAATTGACCAAATGGCAGAATGACCGGTGGAACGACCAGTCACCATGATGAACACTGACCACCAGGGGGCAGACGCCCAATGCAGGAGCTGCCCCCAGCCCACAGGCCCCAGGCCAGCCAAGGTGAGTGTGAGCAGGGGGGCCCCTGATCAACCCGCCGGTCACCCCACAGATTGGCCCTGATCGCCAGCCAGGCCTAGGGATCCTACCCATGCATGAATTTCGTGCACTGGGCCTCTAGTTTAGAATAAAACCTAACTTCCTTACTCTGACCAAAGGCCCTGTGATCTGCCCTTTTATCTTTCTGATCACATTTTAATCTTTTCCCCTTCACTCACCATGCTCCTCCCACACTGACACAGCAAGCTTCCTTCCACCTCAAGGCCTTTGCATTAGCTGTTCCCTCTACCTAGAATGATCTTCCCTTAGACCTTTATACGGCTGTCCTATTTTATTTTCTTCATTGCACGTTTTGCTGGGGATTTGGTTATTTATTAGCTTGTTTACTAGTCTGTTTCCTCCCACAAATTCCATGAAATCAGAGACCTTGTTTTCTTGTTCATCACTAAATTCCCAGCCCCCAAAACAGTGCCTAGTGCATGATACTTACGTAACAAATAGCAGCATTACTGGGAAACTCACCGAAATTGGGTCTCCTTGGCCAAAGCCAGAATAGCTGTGGCCCCTCCAAATGAATGTCCCATCACAGCCACACAGCTCATGTCGATGCTGCCCTGAGGAAAGCAGAGAACTTAGCCAAGTCAGACACTGCGGAGTGCTTTTTGAGGACTTCTTCAGGGGCAAGAAGAAACAGCGAGACAATGCAGAAGCACAATTCAGCGAGTGAGTTTCCAGCACCTCCACCCACCCCACCACATGAAAGACCCTGCCAGCTGGAGAGCAGCCTGCCAGGCAATCCCTGGACTGAACAGCCTTCTGTAGGCAGGAAATCCAAAAACCTGCCATGTTTTCCGTCTTTATTTTTATTTATTTATTTATTTTTTAATATATTTTATTGATTTTTTACAGAGAGGAAGGGAGAGAGATAGAGAGTTAGAAACATCGATGAGAGAGAAACATCGATCAGCTGCCTCTTGCACACCCCCTACTGGGGATGTGCCCACAACCAAGGTACATGCCCTTGACCGGAATCGAACCCTGGACCCTTCAGTCCGCAGGCCAATGCTCTATCCACTGAGCCAAACCGGTCAGGGCCCATCTTTATTTTTATTTTTTTTTAAATATGTTTTATTGATTTTTTTACAGAAAGGAAGGGAGAGGGACAGAGAGCTAGAAACGATGAGAGAGAAACATCGATTCAGCTGCCTCCTGCACACTCCCCACTGGGGATGCGCCTGCAACCAAGGTACATACCCTTGACCGGAATTGAACCCAGGACCCCTCAGTCCGCAGGCCAGCGCTCTTTCCACTGAGCCAAACTGGTTAGGGCCTCCATCTTTATTTTTGCCATCTTAATACGTACAATACCTGGACTAGAGTAGCCATTCAAATATCTATGAATAGCCCAGCCAGCGTGGCTCAGTGGTTGAACATTGACCTATGAGCCAGGAGGTCACGGTTTGATTCCTGGTCAGGGCACACACCTGGGTTGCCGGCTCGATCCCCGGTGTGGGGAGTGCAGGAGGCAGCCAATCAATGATTCTCTCTCATATTGATGTTTCTATCTCTCTCTCCCTCCCTATTCCCTCTGAAATCAATGAAAATGTATTAAAAACCTATTTTCCTCATTTAAAAATACCTATGAATAGATGAATAGATAAAAATTATGTGATTCCAACCTGATCCATCAGTGTAAGAGCACATTAAGAGTAAGAACTCTCTCCATCCGCTAGACCCCTGTCTTAAAACCGGTCCACCGGGATGACACGCACCAAGTCAAGGGCAGGATGGGGGAGCTCCTGCTGCCCGTCCACTTTGCTCTGAAGCAAGACCTGCCTGTAGAGAAACCAACTCAGGTTCTACTTCCTCTGGGTCTCTGTCCTGACTTTTATCCAGTGGAGTGATGTGCTTGCTGGAACATGCTCTGCACGTACCTATTTCTAATTGCCTCTAGAAGCCTTCAGGGCACAGTTATATAAAGAGCCACTGCAGCTGTCTGCTAAGGGGCTTGGGAAGTCTCTGTAGGCTTCGCTGCCCAGCCTCTGCCTTAAACCTGGTTATCCCCAATTTCTATCCCAAGCTTTTATATTTAAATTCTCCCCCTTTACTCAGTGCCTCCAGCAACTTGGTTGGTGGCCTGTTTAGGTATTTGTATAGGTTAATATAACTCTAAAATCAGGAATAGTCCACCCAGTGTAGCTCAGTGGTTGAGCATCGACCTATGAACCAGGAGGTCACAGTTCGATTCTAGGTTAGGGCATATGCTGGGCTTGTGGGCTTGATCCCCAGCAGGGGTCGTGCAAGAGGCAGCCAATCGATGATTCTCTTTCATCATTGATCTTTCTCTCTTTCTCTCCCTTCCTCTCTGAAGCCAATAAAAATATTTTGAAAAATAAAATAAAATCAAGAGTATACAGAGAAGTCTCCCACCTACCACATTCCCTTTCCACTCCCTGCACCCAAACAGGTAAGTTTCTTACATGTCTTTGAAGAACTTACTGACACATATATGAGTAAACATGAACATATACTTCCCCCCTTTTTACACAAGGGATATTATATCTTACCCTTTTGCATAATGATGTTAGAACATAAAGAGCTTCCTTATCTTTTTTTTACAGCTACATTTGGTTTCACCATGGTACAAATAGCTAGTGATCTCCAAATCTGTTCCTCTTCTTCCTGGACACATAGCTAGACTCTATTTCCCAGCAGTTGGATGTGGCCTTGTGGCTCTAGCTGATAGAATGTGAGTGAAAGTGAAATCTCTACTTCCAGGCCTAGTCCATGTACACTCCTTCGTGCATACCTCCATGTCCTTTCCCGTTCCTGGCTTAACACACACAGTGAAGCTGGGTTTCATAAGTGGAAGAGGGTAGAGCTAGAGCAGCGGTTCTCAACCTATGGGTCGCGACCCTTTGGGGGTCAAACAACCCTTTCACAGGGGTTGCCTAAGACCATTGGAAAACACATATATAATTACATATTGTTTTTTTGATTAATCACTATGCTTTAATTATGTTCAATTTGTACCAATGAAATTGGGGGTCACCACAACATGAGGAACTGTATTAAAGGGTTGTGGCATTAGGAAGGTTGAGAACCACTGAGCTAGAGGATAAAAGTAGCTTGGGTCCCTGAGCTCCCATTTTTGGACTTCATGTGGGAGAGAAATAAATTTCTATTGTGTTAAGCCACTGAGATTTGGGATTTATGTGTCAGAGCAATTAGCATTACCCAAATGAATACAGCCATTGTTCCATCATCTATTGAACTAGTTCCCTAATTATTAGTAAACATTTAGGATACGATCAATCTTTTGCTATTACAAACAACACTGGAATGAATAACCTTGTACATATATCATGTTGCATGTGTGTAGGTATCTGCAGAATAAATTTCCAAAACTGGAAATTACCGGGTCAAAAAATATGTGCATTTGTAACATTAATAGCTATTGCCAAACTGCCCCACATGGAGCAATCTGCACTCTCATGGGCAATGTAAGATTGTACCTACTTCCCTACAGCTTTGCCAACAAGAATGAGTAATCAATTTTCAGATCTTACTCAGTCTGATAGGTGAAAATGTACCCTTTTTTATTCTGTATTTCTCCAAAAGGCTACCTCTTAACTAACCCAACTACACTGTAGCCTGCCATTCCCCAGTGGCATGCAGGCCTGGGAGCCCGCTTAGCTGGTGGGGGCTGGGAAAGCACTCCAGATTCCAGGTTCTGCCTTCCCTACTGACCATCCCAACAGGTGCCTCTTTCTGGAAGGCTTTACCAAAACCTTTAAAAGATAGTTTCTAAAGAGGCTTTGGGGCACACAGCAGAGTCTTTGGGATCCAAAAACCCAATTTAAATTTTAACTCTACCATTCACTTAGTTGTGTAACCTTGGGAAAATACTTAGCTTCTTTGATCTTTTATTTCTTTCTATGTGAAGAGATGCTAATGCTTACTGCATACGTTTGTGTGAGCTGCTCTTACATAGTAAGTACTCATAAAACAGTAATTGTTATTTTATATATATTTACTAAATAAAGAAAAGAGGCCACAAAACAGCTTATAGTAAATAACATTAGATTTTCATATACATATATATCCTAGAGGCCCAATGCACAACATTCGTGCACTGGGGGGCGGGAGAGTCCCTCAGCCCGGCCTGTGCCCTCTGTGTCCAGGACCCCTCAGGGGATATCTGCTTGGCGGCTTAGGCCACTCCCATGGTGGACATCCCCTGAGGGGTCCTTAGTGTTGCACAGAGGCAGGAGAGGCTCTCACCATTGCTGCTGGGCTCACCAGCTATGAGCCCAGCTTCTGGCTGAGCAGCGCTCCCCCTGTGGGAGCACACTGACCACCAGTGGGCAGCTCCTGTGTTGATAGTCTGCCCCCTGGTGGTCAGTGCACATCACAGCAACCAGTCGTTCTGCCATTTGGATTTGCATATAGGCAGGAGAGGCTCCCACCATTGCTGCTGGGCTCACCAGCTATGAGCCCAGCTTCTGGCTGAGCAGCGCTCCCCCTGTGGGAGCACACTGACCACCAGTGGGCAGCTCCTGTGTTGATAGTCTGCCCCCTGGTGGTCAGTGCACATCACAGCAACCAGTCGTTCTGCCATTTGGTCGATTTGCATATTAGTCTTTTATTATATAGGATATATGTACAAATATGTGTGTGTGTGTGTGTGTGTGTGTGTGTGTGTGTGTGTGTGTGTAATGCATTAAAAGAACTGAAAGGACAAACATCAAAATGTCAAAAAAAATTCTGTTTCTTTTTTCTTTATGCTTTTGTGTGATTTCTTAGTTCTCTAGTGCTTGAGCTACTTTTGAAATTAGGGAGAAAAAGAACTGGGTGGGGAGAAAAATGTATCTAATAGGCACCAAACAGCCAGGGCAGTTTCTATCCTCTTGCGGATTCTGGGGGTTCCCTCAAAGAAAGGAGTTAGCCTACAGGGAACACGGGACTTGCTGCTGCCGGACAGCCCTTCCTTTGGGGAAGGGACCATCTCTCCCTCATCCACATGGCCCTGTGGGGCTGTCAGAGTGGGTGTGTAACCTAGGTAGGCCAATCAGATTATCCTATCCCTCTAGCACAGTGATTGGCCCAGAGGGGCATGTGACTCAAGCAGGGCCACAGCCTTCCCCAGATTAGTGGAAGCTAACAGAGTCTCTTTTCCTTTCAAATCTGGAGCTGAGCTGAAATGCAGGCTTGGGCTACCAGCAACTACCTTTCTTGCCTAATGAAGCCCACATACACGGAGTGGAACTGAGACAGAAGGAGGAGTGACAGAGCTTTGATGGCCACGTTTGAGACACTAGATCTAACTACACGGCTCAAAGCCAGTCTGCCTTTGGTCTTCATAGTTATTCGAGCCAGTAAATTCTCTTTTGGTTCAAGCTGGTAAGTTAGGTAAGTTCCTGTTACGTGTAACCAAGAAAGTCCTGATGAATACATGAGCTCAGGTCATACCAGTTGCTGTCCTACCTTCAAGGTCATCAGATCCAACCCACCAGGCAAGATGTTGAGGACAGTCTGCCCAGCAGTGACCTTTTGCAGGATCTTCAACACTCGAGTACACTCATTTACCCGCTGATACACCTGCAACAGAGACAGTCCTAGTGGGAGCTGGGAACACTGCACAAACCATCTAGCAAGAAACTCACTCCCCTACAGAGCCAAGGAAGAATGCAGGGAGAGTTTGCTCGCCCTTGTCTCAGTAAGCCCTGTGGGCCCCATATGCTGAGAAAGGCTCAGCTCCTTCTTAGCAGCTCACATAGCATCACCTAATGCAGGGGTGGGAAATGTCTGGCTTCTGGCCACATAAGGCCTGAGAAATCATTTGGTCTGGCCCTGCCAAGGCCTTAGGGGTGAGTTAATTAAATGTTTGACCAAATACAGCAGGCTAATTTTTAAGTTGATAACATTGTATGGCCTGTGAATGATGTTACAAATACCCAAATGGCCCTTGGCAGAAAAAAGGTTCCCAACTCTGACCTAATATTCACACTCTGTCTACATACCCTTGGGGTTGTCAGGAGAACCAAATAAGACATGTATATGAAAGTGCTTTGAAAACAAAAGGACATAAGGGTGCTGTTATTATCAATCCAGTACTGGATTCTACTTGTCATGTATTGCCCACATCTACTGTTTTTGTCTGCCTAGCACTTACCAGCTCCACTTCTGTTAACCCTGCCTTTGAGGATTGCCCCCCACCCTGCAAAAAAAAAAATCTAACAATGTTTTTCTGATGGGAACTTCCTGCTTTGGTACTTCTCCCAGCCTAGGAGTCTCTCTCCAGGATTTTTCCTACTGAAGCTTGGGGCAGGGGTAGGGACTGAGGGAGCAACCTCAAATAGTCCCATTCTCTCAGATGGCGAGGTCAAACATATGCAAGCTCAGAGCTGTCAAAACTGTGGCTCTAACTTCATAAAGTAAGTCAGTTTGCAGATGAGACCAACCAGCAGAGGACACAGGGATGAGAATGAAAGACAAGTCCTGATGGCATTTGAGGCTGGTTCCAGCGGTCTTGCCCATCGTATATGTCCACTTACATAAGCTTATCTATTCTCCTTTTTGCCCAGAAAGCATAAGCTGGGTTTCTGTCACTTGCAATTATCAACAGTCTTGATTAATACCCCATTTCTCCTATTGATGTGGCAAGCTCAGACTCACTACGCCTGAGATTTCAAGAGAAATTTGGATAAGTCTTCTTGGTGAATGTCGTACAGGGAGGACAGGCTTATTAATTCTTCTTCCCTAATTGGCACAAGGCACAAGCCTACCTGGCAATTCCGAACACAAAATTCCTTCTCCCCTTCCTTAATTGGGCGGTAGGGAATCCATTCCTCCTCCAGCAACTCATTCGAGGGCTGCTTCTCTTCTGGGACCTGCTTGCAGATACAGGTGGTGGCAGCTGACCCATCCCTGAAATACACATGTCACCAGAAAGAAACACGAAGACACTCTTGAGCTTATTTCTCCCCTTTACCAAATCCTCCTTTTCACCCAAGACTCTCTGGATCACCCTTCAGCTGCTAGGGGAAAAATCTAAGGGCATGCATAGGAGAGTAGAAAAAACATGGATTTTGAGTTTGAACCCTAACTCAGCTGTGTCACTTTCAACAAATTATTTAACATCTTTTCTTTTTTTTAAAGCTTTACTACCACTAATTTAAGTGTATTTTTAAAATGATTTCAGAGAGGAAGGGAGAGGGAGAGACAGAAACATCAATGATGAGAGAGAATCATTGATCGGCTGCCTCCTGCACACCCTCCATTGAGGATCAAGCCCACAACCGGGACATGTGCTCTGACTGGGAATTGAACCGTAACCTCCTGGTTCATAGGTAAATGCTCAACCACTGAGCCACACCGGCCAGGCTATTTAACATTTTTGAACCTTGGTTTCCTCACCTTTAAAATGGATCTGATACTTGCATAGTTGTTGTGAGGATTAGGGGACTAACCTATATCCTAGCCCACTGCAGGCACCCGATCCACGATAGTTCACTGTGACTGCCACTGCTCACCTGTGCTCTGGCACAGCCACCACAAAGCCGTGGGAGGCCAGCTCCATGCAGAAGGCTGAATATAGTGTCCTAGAGATTCAGGAAGGAAAAGAAAAGTGATCAGAAAAATGGCCCACCCTTAGCCCCCATTCTAACTATTCTCTGCTAGTGACCATCTCAAAAGACTGAAGGGAGGAAGTTCCATTTGTAGCAGCCCTTTTCACGGTGCTTTCTCCAGCCAGAATATCCCAGCTCTCACCACAGCCCCCAGAGTCCCCTGCTAGGAAGCACGTGCAAATCAATCCATGGTGTTTTCCGACCCTATATACACACACACACACACACCATCCCACACCATCCCCAATACAGTTCGGCTACTTCAACAATTGCATTTTTTTTAAAAATATATTTTATTGATTTTTTACAGAGAGGAAGGGAGAGAGACAGAGAGCCAGAAACATCGATGAGAGAGAAACATCGATCAGCTGCCTCCTGCACATCTCCTACTGGGGATGTGCCCGCAACCCAGGTACATGCCCTTGACCGGAATCGAACCTGGGACCTTTCAGTCCGCAGGCCGACGCTCTATCCACTGAGCCAAACCGGTCTTGGCAACAATTGCATTTTTATTGTTATATTGTATGTCTCCCAAATTAGTTCGTAAGCACCTTGAGGACAAGGACTCTGGCTATTTCTTTAATATGCAAATCTGCATCTGTGATTTAGCATGTGGAATTTTTATCTGTCCTCCAGCTTTACAGAAAAAAAGAATAAAGCAGACACTGCTAACTGCCCACTCCAAATACCTTCTTCCTCCTTGATAAAATAATCTAATGTTCAGCTAAAGACACTGTCATGCCATCAAAATATGACATTTACCAGCCTCCTCTACAACCAGGTTTGTATGTGATTAAATTCTAGTCCAGCAAAAGAAATATAATACTAGCCCAGGTGGTGTGGCTCAGTGGTTGAGCGTCGACCTATGAACCAGGAGGTCACGGTTTGATTCCCTTTCTGGTCAGGCCATCTGCCCAGGTTATCGGCTGGATCTCAGGCGTAGGGCAGGCAGGAGGCAGCCAATCAATGATTCTCTCTCTCATCATTGATGTTTCTATCTCTCCCTCTCCCTTCCTCTCTAAAATCAATTTTTAAAAAATTTAAAAACAAAAAGAAATATAATACTACACTGAGTAATTTAAAAATTTTAAAAGTAAAAAGAAACAGGTAGAATTAATTTTAATAATATATGTAACCCAATACAGCCAAACATGATCACTTCAACATATAATCAAAATTTAAAGCCCTAGCCAGTTTGGCTCAATGGATAGAGCATCAGCCTGCGGACTGAAAGGTCCTGGGTTCGATTCTGGTCAAGGGCACATGCCCGGGTTGTGGGCTCGATCCCCAGTAGGGGGCATGCAGGAGGCAGCCAGTCAATGATTCTCTCTCATCATTGATGTTTCTATCTCTCTGTCCCCCTCTCCTTTCCTCTCTGAAATCAATACAAATATTTTTTAAAAATAATGTGGTGTTTTACTACTTTTTAAAAATATGAAATCTTTGAAAGTCAGTGTATATTTCATATGTATAGCACAGCTCATTTTGGACCAGCCATATCTCAAATGTTCAGTAGCCATATGTGGCTAGAAGCTATTATAGTGGACACAGCAGCTCTAGTCAATGGGAGGCAAGCAGCTGTGTTATACTTCAGGAAATCTCAAAAAGAAGAGTGCTCCCTTCCTATTGCCTGAAATATGGATGTAATGTCTAGAGCTAAACCAGCCACCCTGGGTCATGAGATATCTTCAGAAATGGAAGCCACCATGGCAGAGTAAGACGATTAAAGAAGCCTGCTTCTCTGATAACTGCATGGAACTACCACATCAGCCGTCTACTTCTAGCTTCCTTTTATCTGCAAAAGAAATCAATGTTGTTTAGGTCACTATTATCAGTTAGGATATGGCGGTTTCCTGTTAAATACAACTTCCTCATATCCCAACTGATTCAGGGAGGTCAGTATCTTAAGTTTCTTTTTCTTTTGGGAGGCAATGAGCATAAGAGCCAGAGAGATTTCTGATCCCTTTCTCATTCGAACTGTAACCTTGGGCACGTATGCCTTCCAGAGCCTGTCTTCTCTTCTGTAAAATATGCACCCTCCCCGGCCTGCCCCAAATGAGACAATGGACCATTGCAAATGTTCAGTGTTTAAAGCACATACCCTGCCCTGGGATGGGAAACCATGAGTCTATGGAGCGTGGGAAGGGTTTCAGAGTCTGAATCAACCACAGAAACTATGAAAGGAAATCATGTCTCTTCCGCCCCCTCCCTTTTCTTGGAATTTTGCTCTGGTTAATGAAGAGCATTTATTTATAACTAGAGGCCCGGTGCACAAAAATTTGTGCACTCGGTGGGGAAGGGGGGGCGGGTCCCTCAGCCTGGCCTGTGCCCTCTCGCAGTCTGGGACCCCTCAGGAGATAAGGACCTGCTGGCTTAGGCCTGCTCCTGGGTGGCAGAGGGCAGGCCCAATCCCTAGGTGCAGCCCCTGGTCGGGCTCAGAGCAGGGCTGATTGGGGAGTTGGGGC